CTTTCACTTAACTCTGTTTGGGCTTAACTAGTACTGCAGATATGCTCGTTGTGCCTTCCCACAAACTAGTAGTCCTGGTTGGATGTAAGTGTTCTGCAGAATTTATTCACGAGCACGATCACGATCACGATCACAATCACCATCTGAGTTCCTATACAAATGTGGGAGTCTCTTTTTCCACTCTACCAATCTGTTGATCCTGTAATTCTTTATTTCTAAGGAAATTCTAGAGACGGTACATTTTCTAATATTCCGTAAAATGTAAAGTATAGCTACTACAAAAACCAAAGTTCCACCCTTTCATGCATGGTTGATTACTTGAATTTGCACATACTACAGTAAATTGGAAAGAGTCGGGGCTAATGGAGTTTGTATCTCGACAAAGTCTCTATTTGAGTCCCATTTTTTAAGCACACATTTTGTCAGAACGGATTTGTGTGTGTGTGTGTGTGTGTGTAATTAGAATGTAGGGAAATTTTTTTTTAATTACTTGCAAAATTATTTTATTGAGAGAATGTGAAAATTGAAGCATATGTTTAATTGTTGGACAAAATGCAAAATATGATCACATGTTTAGTAAGTACACAAAGAAAAAATAGGAAATTAATAAATGCGGAAAAGAGTAAAAAGTATTGATAACTAGTCATGTATAAACTAATCATTGCCTCATTCATTATGTAAACTTCAATTTCTTATAAACTTCAATTTCACATGTTACATTGTTTTTCTTCCATTATGTAAACTTCAATTTCTTATAAAATCAAGCATCATTTTAACGAGTAAATATATGATTTCGATATTCTCACGAAGGAGAACATTGATCTATTTTGATCTTCCAAAACAAAGAACCAAGCCCTACCCAAAACAATGGTAAAACAACACAATTTTCCAAAGTAAAGAACCCAGTCCTAACTAAATTAATAATGCATATTAAATCTTAAAATAATTCAAATTACATGTCAAGTACCATTAAAAAAAAATACCTCAAAAAGAATTTTGGAATGTTTCAAATTGTGTCAAACTAGAGTAGGTTCCCCGCAAAAGTGTCAGATCTAGCCTAGATTTAACATGCGTATTCAAATCCACACGAAAGAACACTAAAAACTTTATTGATCCAACACCAAATCTTCAAAAAATTTCAGACCCCCAAGAATTATGCGAGATCCTATACAATACTCTAAATCGATGGCTCGTCTTCCCAAAGTGGTTTACCTAAAGTTTCAATACCATTAATACAAAAATCTCATGTGAAATATAGAATAAAGTACACAACAACTCTACATGTCATTGTAGCATTTAAAAGTATAATTAGCACCAGCATGTATACAATTTTAGGGCTCAGATTTTGGGCCTTGTATCTCACACGTTCAACCCTAATGGCAGACCCAAATCTTTAGCACATAAAGTTTTGTAACTTGCGAAAGTAGAGAAACACGATTTCCTCTCAAACACTAGGGCAACAGATTGACCTTAAAATCATTGACCACGCGTCTAATCTAATGATCTAGATTGCTCTAAATGCACTGAAGTTGCTACTGAGTGGCATTCCAAGTAAAACGTGTTCTTAAAGTAGCACTTTTAAACGGGTGGGGTCCGAGCTCGGACTGATCTTGTGAGGGTTGGACCACTTGGTTTGTCTCCAATTTAGGCCTAAGCCTGAAGATCAATCATGGGTCATCACTGCTACAGGCTTTTTTGGCATCACGACCCAACAATAGGTAAATATAATGTATTGTATTGATCAACAAATTAGAATAGCACAACAATATTAAACGACACTTTTAATCTTCGAAATATACATAGTCATGTCTAATAAAATGCTAACATTAGGTGCCACTAGATTTTCATGATAACACAATGTTACTGAATAACTCACAGATCACAATAGTTCTGTGGCAAACTCCAATAAACACACAAAAAGATACTTATAAAAGTATAACTTCCGAAAGTGGAAATGTTAGGGTTCGGTTCTCTTTTTCTTCTCATGACTCTTCGGCCACTTCCCCGCTCACATGAGACTCCGCGTTACCTTCATCCGTTTCCAAGGCTTCTAAAAACACCAAAATTAAGCGTACTTCATGAATTTATTTATTTATTTGTAATGAGATACAAAAGAACTAGTTTTATTTATGCTTACTTGGTGAAATGTGAATTCAATAAAAGCCTAAAATAAAAACTGAAGTCATCGTAATGGGAACATGAATAATAATAAATTCCGAGGCGAAATCTGAATGGAACTAGAGAACAAAGGTAAATTTATACCTGATGTATCGT